CAATGGTTTCCCATTCCATATCTATGGTATACTCATTTGGTCGAGTGTTGTGGTTTGGAAATACCACATCGTCCTCGCCCTCGACCACGGCCGGAATTGGGTCTACATCCACGGTTATAGTGGTTCCCATGGCCGGATGAGTTATAGTGGCCACAACCACGTCCTTTCAATACCACATCTATGGCATACTCATTTGGTCGAGTGTTGTGGTTTGGAAATACCACATCGTCCTCGCCCTCGACCACGGCCGGAATTGGGTCTACATCCACGGTTATAGTGGTTCCCACGGCCGGATGAGTTATAGTGGCCACAACCACGTCCTTTCCATCCACCACGGTCACGGCCGTGTGGTCTATCACTTTAGACGTGGTTAGATTCTTTGGATTCTTTCTTATCCTCTGCGGCCTTATTGGCATTAGGTAATGGGGTTAATCTATGAGGTCGTAACTCACTGTTTTTATCTGTAAGTCATTATTTTTATTTTTTTTTCATCTAGCAATAGACTCATCCACGGACTTATAGTCCTGGATTATGAGACTCTCAATAAGATGGTGGCTAATATTGTCTTGTATCTATCTTTCTCTCTTGGCATTCTTGCCTTATTAGATACATTCACCAAGTCCTTTTGACTTTAGGATAATCTTAGTATCCATTGCCCATTTTAAAATAATTATCTCCTAAGAAATTTAGGGCAGTAAAGTACAAGTTGTAATTCAACATCTACAAGGAAAAGTTTTGAGTCAAAATCATGTAATCGTTAGTGTCATGCGGTATTTGAGACCGAACCATGAATCGATTTACTTAGGGATTTGACTTTCCTCTTTTGCTTAGGATTAGATTTCCTCTTTTTATTAGGATTAACTTTTCCTTTTCCTTTTTAGGATTTACTTTCCTCTTTACTTTAGGATTAATTTTCCTATTTCACTTATGATTTTAGATTTTAAGATTTCCTATTTTAATTAGGATTTGGAAATTTTCTATTTCTTAAAGTTTTCCTATCTTGAATAGGATTTATGAATTTCCTAATTTAATTAGGATTTAGAGTACAATAGGATTTAAGATTTTATTTAGGTTTTAATGCTTTCTATTAGAATTTTAAAGTTTCCTATTTTATTGAGGATTTTAAGATTCCCTATTTAGGATTTAGGGTTGTTAAGATTTCCTATTATCTAGGGTTTCCTATTTTATTTAGGATTTTAAGGTTTCCTAGATTTTAGGGTTTCCTATTTTATTTAGGATTTTAGGTTTTAGGGTTTTGAGATTTCTTTTAGGATTATCTTTTCTAAGTTTTCTAGGGTTCATGCAATTTTAGTTTTAGGGTGTTAAGCATGTAATCAATCAAAGGAGCAAACAATCTAACAACCTAAACAATCTCAATCAAGCCGATTTAAACTTATGGAATTTTTTTGGATTAGATTCGTTTTAGGTTTTAGGTTTTTAGACCTTTAAAGTTTCGGTTATTAGCTTATGTATTTTCGTTTTGCGATTTTAGGTTTAGACAATTAAAACTTCTCTAGCAACTTAGGCGAGTTTAGCTTAAGCGATAATCAACTTTTTCTAGCAACCTAAACGAGTCAAACAATCGAGCAAACAAGCAATCGGATCAAACAAGCAATCAAATCATACAAGCAAAGCAATCACTTAATCAATCATCATTCGTTTTAGGGTTTCTCTTTGCTTAACTTTCAAGTTCAATTGTTGGTTCTTTAGCTTTAGGGTTTTGATGTTACCTTTCACCTTATGGGGTTGTATGGACTAGAACCGGGAGCTAAAGACCTCGGTAACTCACGCTGCTGCAACGAACCGCAAACAGTACCACGATGAACAGTACCACGATGAACAGTACCACGATGAACAGTGCCGCGATGAACAGTACCCGCGATGAACAGTGTCGGCGATGAACAGTGCCGCGATTTTTAGGGTTTTAGGGTTTTCGTTAAGAGCAAGTCGTGCTGATAACGTGTTGTAAACTGTATTGTTCTATTGATTAATGAATGAGATTTCGATACATATATATACATGATGAGGGGAGACAAATCCCCATTGGGCTAGTAAACCCTAAAGCCCAAAAGCCCACTAAGTACAATATAGGCCGTCATAAGGAGAATCTTCAAGAACATGGGCATGGGCCTTCTAGGACATGGACATGGGCCTTCTAGAATATGCATAAGGTCCACGGTTATGGAGTCCATCCAACATGTGGTTTATAACAAAAGTCAAGAAAAATTTAGTTTTTGTTGTGACATGTCTGAAACTTTTGAAATTGAAGTGTGAACTCGAATCGAATCCTACTAGTCGTCATTGGAATATTTATCCACGTAGTGTATGAGTCTGCTTGAACAATCTTTTCCAAGTTGAAAAAGAAAAGTAGTGATAATACAAAGTCAATTCTAAGAGTTGATTTTTCATATAAAGTACGATTAGTGGAAGTGGTACGGTGTATGATCCCAGGAATATTCCGTACGATATCCGGCCTAACACAGTAGAACCGGTCATGAGTCATTATGACTCGAGACTCGTGAATTCTGTACTTTGGTGCCTGTAACGTCGTCGTCACTCGTTGACACGTCTCTTACTATGACGACTTGTTTTCTCGAGCTGTGTACCAATTTACTCTCCGGCTTGGACTGGTTATGTTTCGTAAAGGGTAGTTTGGTCATTGACTCATTTCCTAAAATAGCCGTAGTTTGGAGTCGTCCAAATCCCACCGTCACCGGCATCTCTCTATCCCAATTATATATAACGCTATATGTTTTCTAATTGGTAAAAAATACTACTTCCTTCGTTTCGTTTTACTTGTCGTTTTAGAGTTAAAATTTTGTTTCATAATAGTTGTCGTTTTAGGTTTTCGATACAAATGTTTTGTGAAAATTCCAGTTTTATCCTTTTTTAATGTTTCGGCCAATAAATTTTTTTATAAAATATATTAATAAAGGGTAAAACAGAAAATTTAATGATTTTCTTAATTTATGTGAGAAAACCTTAAACGATAACTAAAACGAAACGGAGGGAGTACTGGTTATTCTATATTTTATAGGAGTTAAATTGTTGTTGCGGTGGACATGAATCGGATTAAATTTTGAAAGGATTTTGACATTAAAATTCCTTCGTTGAACTTTTAAATTCACTCATTTAGCAAAATCTGTTGACCAAAGAAGAATTATTAGCAAAAAGTTTTAGGTGTTTGGCATATAACTTTTCTCTTGCATTTAAGACTACTATTTGAAATCATGATTGCAGCAATTTCTTAAATCATTTACATCTACCGCATGACATACATAACTCTATTCAAATTTGGATTTGCCGCTAAAACAAATAACACATCTCTTATGCCATATTTTTAGCTAAAATTTCTATTGCTGTTGTAGTCCCCATGATAACTCAGGTTTCCTCTTACACGCGTCTATTTCAATATCAATTTGTTTAGACTAAATCCTCTTCTTCTTTTTTTCTCTTTCCTGTCCACGTTAGTTTCCAGAATTTGGTATTTGTTGTACGTATTGTAAATGGTTTGTTTTAGACAAAAAGGCCAGAAATATTATATAGAAATTCACAGCATTTTTTCCAAAAGATATTAGAAAACCACAAATGGATGGAAGAGCCTGACTTGGCGATGTGTCATCATATTTGATGATAACACGTATAAGACACATGTATGCGTGACGAAATATTATTAAATGTGTAAATTGTATTGTGTACAGATATATCAGGCCCCTTATAATAAACTTTTTAGTAATAGAATTGGATCGTTACCTAGAATAGTTTTAGGTTATACTAATAAGTACGGTCACACCTTGGAGTTTGAAATAATATTTCCCAGTCTACATTTACTGTTTTGTCTTTCCTACGCACTCTCGTTGTCCATACAATAATATTTTTGTTGGTTTGGCAACTTGTACATACAGTAATTATTTAATTTGAAACCATTAACAAAAATAATTATTTTATTTAACTTTAAGATTAAGTACCCACCCCCCTCTCTATTTTTTTGTTTGTTTGTGGATAAAACTATTATTAGGTACTGGCGATAAATAATAAAAAGTATTATTAACTCTCTTGCATTAACATAACAAAAAAAATTAGGTCAGGGACAAAAGAAAAGGGCACTCACTGGTTTTTTACTCACATAATTAATTATTTGTTTGTGACAGAAAATAAATAAAAACGTGAAAAAGAAAAGGTTTAGATATGGAATATAAATCAATGGTAATGGAGAAACACTAGTTTTTAAAAGTTAGGAGACAAGAATAGATTACACATTTGAAGAAAAAAGAACATATATCTCCGAATATTTTCTTGGTCGGCTTGTCTAAATTAATTTTTTTTTGGACATAATGATATCAAAGATATATGCTTGTGAAAAGAGAGTATTCGTAAAAAGATTAGGATAGAAGTAGTAATAAGCAGAATTATTGAGACGATTAAAAAAGCTTAAGAATATAATAATAATAATAATAATATAAAAATAAAAGATATTTAAATGAGGGAGGTAAAGATAAGAGAGAGGGTCTTTCTATCGTACTGTCCGCACTCGAATCTGTCCTTCCTCGCATGCTGACTCCACCATATACAACTTACCAATGGCCTAACTTGTTGATTGCGACTTCTCTCTCCTTTTTTACCTTTTTGCCCCTCTCCGTCCTTCCCCGTACGCTTCTCTTTCTTTATTTTATTTACCTTTTCCTACAATTACATATCTACCCCCATTTTTTTTTTTTTACATAACACGCAGCAGCTCTGGTTTTAATTTTCATTGAAATTTATAACCATAATAAATGTGAAATCCATAATACTTATATTTTTCGATGATATAATAATATACTACTAGATGGTCTGACGAAATAAAATAAAAAACCTGATTTTTGTTTTTTCTTCATTTTCTTTTAAATCCTAAGAACGAACAAATAATATACTATGTGTGTTGATAAGAAAGAGATAGAAGAGCAAGGGCAATTAAGTAATCTGACAATATCCGACTCCTTCAAGGCTCTCTCTCTCCCACAGAAAACAAACTGTTGGTTCGTTGTTGTAAATCTGCTAACACTGTGGGTTTTTCCAAAATCCTCAACAAACAAAAAAACTCGTTTGATTTCAAAATTTGTCCAAAGCCAAGCAAACAGATGAAGAAGGTTAAGCAGATTCGCGTCTCAAAGCCTTTCGATCTTCTCTCCGAAGAGCTCGTCTTCATCATCCTTGACCTCATCTCTCCCAACCCTTCCGATCTCAAATCCTTCTCTCTTACTTGCAAATGGTTTTACCAACTCGAGTCCAAGCACCGCCGATCCTTGAAACCTCTCCGCTCCGACTACCTCCCTCGCATCTTGACCCGTTTCCGCAACACCACCGATCTCGATCTTACCTTCTGCCCTCGTGTCACTGACTACGCCCTCAGCGTCGTTGGCTGTCTCTGCGGTCCTACGCTCCACTCCCTCGACCTTTCTCGCTCTGGCTCCTTCTCCGCCGCGGGGCTCTTGAGACTGGCCGTCAAATGTGTCAATTTAGTCGAGATTGACCTGTCGAATGCGACGGAGATGAGAGACGCCGATGCGGCGGTGGTGGCGGAGGCGAGGAGTCTGGAGAGGCTGAAGCTGGGGAGATGCAAGATGCTCACGGACATGGGAATCGGATGCATCGCAGTTGGATGCAAGAAGCTCAACATGGTTAGCTTGAAATGGTGCGTTGGCGTCGGAGATTTAGGCGTTGGCTTGCTTGCCGTCAAATGCAAGGACATTCGCAGCTTAGACCTCTCCTACTTGCCGGTACTTAAATTTCTCTCATAACACATTTTCTTAATCCAAATTTCAATTAATATATGGTAAGTTAGTCGAATTAGAACTGTTTCTAAAATTGGGGATTCGACCACTTTTGTCATTTCTAAATTTGTTCTTCTTAGACCTGTGGGTTCATTTTTGAAGTCAGCAACAAGTTTTGGTTAGATTTTTTGGTCTTTCTATATCTGAATCCGCGACACACAAGTGTTTGTTTACATGATCTTGAGAGAAGCTCGAAATTCAAACCTATTCCTCTGTTCCATATTCTACAGATTACAGGCAAGTGTTTACATGACATTTTGAAACTCCAACACCTTGAAGAACTTTTTCTAGAAGGGTGCTTCGGAGTAGATGATGACAGTCTTAAATCTCTCAGACATGATTGCAAGTCATTGAAGGTAACCTCTATTCCAAGAAATATGTTTGATTCTTTTACATGATCTCACATAATAGTATTGGAATCCACTTGAAAGACGAAAACTTTTTAGCTGTTTTTTAGAACAGAAAACTTGGTATTCTCAGAATATGGCTTGAAGAAGATGTTACACTTCTTCCTGAAACATTTAACTTTTCGAGAGAGGATGTATAAACAGGTTTCATATTTGCTTAGACTCAGACAGCTATTTATCATTGAAAGCCTAATGCTGGAAGACTATAGTTGATTGTTTTAATCATCATCTTATCCATAGACATTTGAGATTTTTACTTACCAAAAACCTGTGTTCTGCAGAAGCTTGATGCATCCAGCTGCCAGAATTTAACTCATAAAGGTTTAACCTCACTTTTAAGCGGAGCGGCATGTCTCCAGCGACTGGATCTAGCACATTGTTCTTCTGTAAGTTCTTCATTTTCTCATTATCATCAGAACATGCTTTCCTTGCTTTGTTTCCTGGTTATGCCCTGTATGTAACCATTGGCTAAATGGTTGAGTCAACTTAGTTTGGCACTAAAACTGATTAGTAGTAGCAAACCAGTAATTGCACCTACGACTGAATCGTCCATTGGAGTCATGGATCGATAGCAGTGCACAGACCCCACCATAAGTCTATGATGCCTTCTTATATGAGGTTTATTTACTGATTTAGGTGATATCATTGGATTTTGCGAGTAGCTTAAAGAAGGTTTCAGCGTTACAGTCAATCGGGTTGGATGGTTGTTCTGTTACACCTGACGGTTTAAAGGCGATAGGCACATTGTGCAATTCCCTGAAAGAGGTTAGCCTAAGCAAGTGTGTGAGCGTAACTGATGAAGGTCTCTCTTCTCTAGTAATGAAACTGAAAGACCTCAGAAAACTTGACATCACATGTTGTCGGAAACTAAGTGGAGTTTCAATCACCCAAATCGCCAATTCATGTCCCTTACTAGTCTCTTTGAAGATGGAGTCTTGTTCTCTTGTTTCCAGAGAAGCCTTTTGGTTGATCGGACAGAAGTGTCGGCTACTTGAAGAGCTTGACTTAACTGACAACGAGATTGATGATGAAGGTTCTTTATTTTCTTCAGATTAATTCTTTGAACCTTGATTTCTGAATTATACCTTATAGTGTTTGTCTTTCCTTGTATGATGCAGGACTGAAATCCATATCTAGTTGTCTTAGTCTTTCCTCGTTAAAGTTGGGAATTTGTCTTAACATAACAGACAAAGGGCTCTCGTACATTGGGATGAGCTGCTCAAATCTCCGTGAACTTGATCTCTATAGGTTTGTCGCCTAGAAATTTATTTTGTAGTCGGGTCAATAATAACTCTCCATTCTCAATCTAGTCTTTATCTATTCCAGGTCAGTAGGAATAACGGACGTAGGCATCTCCACAATCGCCCAAGGCTGCATTCATCTGGAAACAATAAACATATCATACTGCCAAGACATAACAGACAAGTCCCTGGTTTCATTGTCAAAATGCTCGTTGTTACAAACATTCGAGAGCAGGGGATGTCCTAACATCACGTCACAAGGACTTGCGGCCATTGCTGTTCGGTGCAAGCGACTCGCCAAGGTCGACTTGAAGAAGTGCCCATCCATCAATGATTCTGGGTTGCTCGCTCTCGCCCACTTCTCACAGAATCTCAAACAGGTAATAAACCGTTGAATCCTTCACCCACAGCTGAAAAACTATGATAAACCGGTTGAATATTTGATCTGACTGCGAAACCCATGTTGCAGATAAACGTGTCAGACACAGCTGTGACTGAGGTGGGACTTCTCTCCCTAGCCAACATAGGGTGTTTACAGAACATAGCGGTTGTGATTTCAAGTGGTTTAAGCCCAAGCGGAGTAGTAGCAGCATTGCTGGGGTGTGGAGGACTAAGGAAAGCGAAACTACATGCCTCCCTAAGATCGCTCCTTCCTCTATCTCTAATCCACCACTTGGAAGCTCGTGGTTGTGCTTTCCTCTGGAAAGACAATACCCTTCAGGTACTTTTAAGTGGTGAATATATATAACTATGTATGTAGATTCCTACTAAAGTAAATAGCCGCAAAAGGTTGGTGTAGTTTTTTGATGATTACAATAAAAAAAACTAGGACCGAACTGGTCTCACTGACATGTGGGATTTTGTATAATAATGTGGGAACAGGCGGAGTTAGATCCCAAGTACTGGAAGCAACAGCTGGAAGAGATAGTGCCTTGAAAGTGTGAAACATTCTGAATGGGAAAGAGGGTTTCTATCGGAGCCAGAAGACAGGCCAGTTTTGGGATGTGGCCCAGTGTGGATTTTTTTTTTTTTTTTCCTTTTGAATACCAGGAGGTAATTTTTCTAGACCCGAAACCACAGCATGTAATATTAGTTTCGTCCCAAGCGGCCCAATGTGGATTAGCTGGAACATTTTTGGTCTCTTTTGTGTTATTGTTGACGGCGCGTGTACTAACCAACCCCACACAACCTTACATTATAAGTTTAGTCACATGGTGGTGATATGAATGGTACCGTTGTATATGTAATCTTTTTTTTTTTGGTTGGGTGCCGATATTAACGGACGTAACAGAGTCACAAGGGATGCCCTCTCTGTTTCTTTTTTGACTTTTTCCTTCTCTCTTTTTATGTGTAATCATATGAGTATTCTGTAATTTAATGCCTCATCAACTTGCCTCGGTAGGGCATGCCTTTACACGTCACCTTATTCGCGTTTGCGTCTTCCATAAGAGCGTTTTGCGAGAAAAAGACCATGACTCACTAGGGCCCAGCAATGGTCCAGCCAGGCTCTCACCATCTGTACAAAAATAGCGAGTCAGCGACTCGGTGTGACCACAATGTGACCTCCAACAACCCTCCCTCATTGCTACAACGGCTAGGCAGCCCAACACCGTTTCTTTTTTCCTTGCACCTTTCAAGTGTCCGTCGTCCACAACTGCATCCTTTTATATTCCACTATGACAAAATAAAATTCCAGCTATATATCAAACTACCCAAACAAACACATGTCAATCAGTCCAAAAAGTTCCACCGTCATATGATGTGATTCTTATTTTGTTTGCTCACTAAAGATAAACCAAATGATTACTTCCTTAATCACCTGCCTCTTCTTTTCTCATTTTTAATTACATAATGGAACGGCCCATAATGGATCATTTTCTTTCGTCATTATTATATTCCCAACTAAATGCTTCCTAATACTTTTGTTTAAACCATACAACACATATCACCTCTCCTCCATAATGATTAAAGGCTTATTATCACCATTTGCCTTCTTTAAAAATAAAATAATGTTTAAGTGCAAACAGATGAGTAATGAAACAGAGTAATCCCATTAACGGTCAACCATCCATCTTTGCTCAGGTCATCACTCATCACATAAAATTAATACTAGTATTATACAATAACATCAATGTATCACTTACATTGCAACCATTCAAACACTAATAATACTATTCCCTAAATCTTGTTGATGGCCAATACTACATTTACTATTACGTCTAAATTCAACATCTAATTGATTATTTGCTTTAGCTGCATTGGATCCACCAAACTTTAACTTTAAATTTCTCCCTCGGAAAAAAAAGGATAAGATAGGTTAAAGAATTCAGATAATTAATGAAAGGATCGAACAATACGAGTAAAAGGGGCACGAAACTCCAAAACTACGATTTTACCCCACTGATTATTGATAATGATTAATTTTGAGACTAATTACTGTATAAGTCAGCGTGGCAATTCTGAAAATAAACCAAAAAACATGTCCTAAAAGCAAACCTCTTTCCGCTGTAGCAACCGCGTTTAGAGAAAAACGCTCTGCTTTTTTTATCTTCTCCTGTCTTTTTTCCGATTCCCCTCTATCTCTCTTTCTTCTTCAACCCCTTTGCATTTTTTTTGCTCACTCCAGATTCCATGTCTCTATCTCTTTCCTCCGCCGTATAGTCGCCGGAAAAACTCCTCATCATCTCCCCTTGTTTTTTTTCCGAAAACCGTGGCGAACTATGCGCTTCTTTTGCCGTTATCCTCCAACTACTTGTCGGATCTGCAATTCGTATTGTCTATTCCCAACCCTAATCGGAGCTAATCACACCTCTGCTCGGTTCTCTTCTCGTTAGTCTTTGTTCCACCTCCTCAGATTTAGGGTTGATTTAAGTCTTTGCTCCAATTAACAAACAAACCTACCGAGAGCTATTCTTTCGTTCTTTATTCTCTCTGTCTCTGTCAGTGATTTTTTTTTTTTTTTTTTTGGGGGACGACCACTTGTAAAGTAGTTTTAGCAGTGAGATACATATATACAATGGAGACTTCCATGGTGAAACCGAGCTTCTTGCGGAATATTATGGTTCGCGTGCTTCTCTTTGGTGTTCTTATCATCGTTGTCAGATTTGCTTATGTTGTTACCATCACCGGTGAATCATGCAATCGCGGCGACTTCTGCTTCTTCTCTCTCCCTGAGAATCTCAACTTTGTCATCTCCGGTGCTGGCTCCGGCGCTTCTGCTATCGACGCCATCAGATCTACTTCCCCTGGGGATGATCTCTATACCAGCAGGGATTGGATCAAAGCCGTTCAGTTTTACTCCTCCATCTTTCAGGATCTGATCGCCGACGGTTATCTCTCCCCGGATTCGAAGACGCTTTGTGTGGAAACGGCGATTGGACAAGAGGTTCACTCACTCAGAGAGATTGGGGTCAAGAACTCCGTCGGGATCTCTAAGAAGGCTTTTAGGCCGTTGGTGGTCAGAGGCGAGGGACATGCTATTCCCTTCGAGGATAACGCTTTCGATTTTGTCTTCTCCGGTGGTGGTCGCCTTGGGAAGTCGTTGAAGCAGTTGGAGTTCGCCGATGAGATTACTCGAACACTGAAACCCCAAGGGTTTGCGGTGGTTCATGTTGGGGCTACAGATACGTACAGTTTCAATTCATTCCTTGATTTGTTTAATTCTTGCAGATTGGTGAAGATGCGTGATATCGATGGTTTTGATTCTTCAATGCCTCATATCAGAGAATTCGTTATTCAGAAATACTCAGAGATTGATGGTCATCATCACAGGAAGAATTCCGGTGATGATTCTGGTGGAAAGTGCTGGATTCCCGGTTACAAAAGAGATTTGATTCGGGATGCAGAGCCACTGATTCAAGAAGAGCCTCTTAAGCCATGGATTACACTTAAGAGGAACATTAAGAATATTAAATATGTGCCTTCTATGGTAGATATACGTTTCAAGAGTAGATATGTATACGTTGATGTTGGTGCTCGAAGTTACGGGTCCAGTATTGGGAGTTGGTTCAAGAAAGAGTACCCTAAGCAGAACAAAACTTTTGATGTTTTCGCCATTGAGGCCGACAAAGCCTTTCATGAAGAGTATAAGATTAAGAAAAAGGTGAACCTATTGCCATACGCAGCATGGGTGAGGAACGAGACATTATCATTTGAGATAAATCACGATCCGGGAAAGGAAGCGGAAGCCAAAGCAAAGGGCAGGGGAATGGGCAGAATCCAGCCTGTTAAAAAGTCTTCCTCCAGTGACTTAGCTGGAGAGGTCAATTTGATTCAAGGGTTTGATTTCGCTGACTGGCTGAAGAAGAGTGTGAGAGAGAGGGACTTTGTTGTTATGAAGATGGATGTTGAAGGAACCGAATTCGATCTGATCCCGAGGCTAATCAAGACAGGAGCGATTTGTCTAATCGACGAGTTGTTCCTTGAATGCCATTACAACAGGTGGCAGAGATGTTGTCCTGGTCAAAGGAGCCAAAAGTACAACAAGACGTATAACCAATGCTTAGAGCTCTTCACTTCGCTCAGACAAAGAGGGGTGCTTGTCCATCAATGGTGGTAATGGTTAGGATGCTGCATAATCTTCTTCTTCTTCTTCTTCTTCTATGCTTGGGTCAATATCGTTCCACAACTATAAAATGTACTTTCTTCTTCTAGAATATAAAGCGGATATTGTAGGTTTCTATTAAAAATACGTTGTCTATGCTGAACTTCCCTTTACTGTAAGAAAAAAGAAGTTTAGCTTGAAATGAAATTTGAGTTTCTTTTACTCTCGCAACTGTCACTCTTCTTAAATTTTCTTGCTTCTGCTGTTCTCTGCATCCATTGTATATATGATCTAATTTTGTAAGGATTTCTGCTTTCCTTGTCTATATATATGGAGGAAGAACACAAGTTTGTTTGTGTTTGTTTTCTGGAATTTTGCCTCTTCTTAGATATTGTACTCCGGAAGAATGTTTCAAAATGATCTTCTGCAAAGTCGGGGCCTATAAATGGAGCAATGCAAATGCCTTGAATCAGGTATGTTCGTCTCTCCTTCGTTTTATCTTCATTAATAACGTTTTCTCAGGTGGATTTTATGCTAGAATTGAAGACTATGGTTTATTTAAGTAATCAATAGTTGTTTTCGGAATTTCAGAGTCCTGGCCTATAATTTATCTTCCTTATAAATTGATCAATGCAAATGCCTTAACTATAATAAGATCGGCCAATCTGTTTGTCTACTTGATATGAGAACTTAACAAAGAAACAGCCAATGGTTTATTTTAGTTTTGGTACTATAGTTTTTCCTGTTCGTTAGTGTTGGTTGTCGAAAGCAAGGCTATGATTTGGTGAAGGAGAAGTTAGTTTTTTGTGCTGTGGATTGTATAAAGAGTTAAAGGAGGAAAATCGATCAAGTCAGGTAGTTTTTTATTGGTAGTCTTTAGTATCCAATTATGGATAATCCCCATCTAGATTTCAATCTATTCTTAGACAGAGAGAAAATAATAAACAAATATTTCTCCATCCCTGATCTTTCTCTCTCCCTTTCTCTCTCTCTTCAGTTTTTTGTTCATCTGAAAAAACCCTTTTGACCTTTCCATTATAATTTTCAATTTAAGCTTCAACAAGAGAAAAATGGCATTTTGTGTTATTGTAATCTGTTGTTTGATCTAGCAATCATTCTTCTCATTAGGTTTCTTTCATGCTTGTCTGTTCTAGTTTCCCTTCTTTATCCTCCTTTCTTCTTCCTTTGACTTCGTTCTCCGATAAGGCCTTACAAGGTGATCCCATGGAAAGCTTTTATCTGGTTGTTTCATCTCTGCCCTGCTCTCCTCTCTTCAATTACTTCTTCCAAAGAACATAGCCACACGTCGTGTTTCCAGAAATTTCCTGTTTGTTTTTGTTTCTTGTTGCGTACCAGTCTCTGGCAGTCTAAATGGGGGTCTGTTGTAGCAAGGGCACAGGGATAATTGTGGAGCATGGCACGGATGATAGTAATGAATATGGAAACGGAGAGGCTGAGGTTAGGGACACAAATGATGGAGCTGTTGTAAGGACGCGTGGATCATCCAAACACGTTTCCATGTCAATCAAACAAGGGAAAAAAGGAATAAATCAAGACGCCATGACAGTCTGGGAGGTAAGAGTTTTAACATTTTGTTTCCTGTTGGGCCATTTCATATTTTTCTTGTTCTCTTGGTTCGGTTTCAGGCGCTAGCATTTGTGGCCATTACTGCTTTGTTTTCTTAATTTTCTGCTATTACATGGGATTTTACATATTGATGCTGCCTCTCTTAAGGCAATGACCAATCATATCGCATCATAACCTTTGCTGCAGAACTTTGGTGGGGAGGAAGATATGATCTTTTGTGGTGTATTTGACGGTCACGGTCCC